AACCGAGATCTGCCTCAAAGCTTTACTTCCACCCAAGCATATATCAATATGGTGGCACATGTCTTATGTAAGATTTAAATGCATCCGATTTTCATCTATCCAGGAATCTAATCTGACTATCACTCATCCACAGTGATACACTGTAAGAAGCCATTCCTATTCAAAAGGAATGTCCTTTGATTCTATTAAATGTTCAAATTACAAAACTTGAGACTCTGTTTTAATATGTTTGAGAATTCTTGCCTTGTGAATATAGGGGGTAGCAAAATAAAGGACCATCACGCCTCCCTCTCATTTTCAGGTAGTATTCTAATACGCCAACTGGACAATATTTTAAATAGTTGCATGAATTGATTGTGAAAATAAAGATTTTACCACCAGATATATAATTTATAATTTTGAAAGTGAATCAAAATCATACTTTTAAAAAAAGAAACCTGTGACATTTCTATGATTTGATTAGCAGTGCAAACAAAATGTTATTTCTCCTATTTCATTAAAGATCTTTAAATACATTCCTTGAAGTGAAATTTTTTTATATATGTTTGATACTGTATGTTCTAATGCATTACAGATTTTATGTAAAATTATTATGTTTTTTGTTGAACGAATACCCATTAAAAGTCTTGTTTTGTGACAAAAATTAAAGTTTTTTGAACAAAGAAACATAACGTATTGTCAAGCAAGGTCTTAATTCTATGAATATATACTATTAATGAAATAAATAACACAATAAAGGAGGTTGCATAGCCTTCAGCAAATAAATAAGAGATAAAAATTGCCAAAGTATCATTAGACAATTGGAAATTATTACTGATATTGAATTTGTTTGCAAAATTTCTAAAAATAGACCATGCCCGTTTATGTGCTTGAGTGAAGCTGGTGCCAATGTTGAAGTCAACAGATCACTCAAGACTGGTTCTAAAGAGGTAATGCCAGCAACAGAGGAATCACCTTTGGTCCTTTGTCCATCCAAGGAGTCAGTTGATGCAACTGCTGAACCTACAAACGAGACAAACATTCACATAGAATATTTTCTTTTGTACCAAGATTCCTAGTTTAAAACAAAAAGTTAGACTGCAAATGTGCTTTATCTAATGCGATAATATGCTCTTGTAATGCCAATAGTGGTTTTGATAAGTCGCCTTAGAAAAACTCTTCCTAGGAAGACCAAGTTACAAGCAAAATTAAGAAGACCAATCACTGATTGCATATCCTTCAAAGTAATCTTTTTGCTTGGTAAAATCTCATCAATTGTCTTCTTACATTTTCTAACTTTATCAACGGGTAGTATTGCCATAAACGTCTCAGTGTCATGTCACGGAAAAGTCAATACCTTCTCTGGACCGAATGATTTATCCTTATCCATAGGTATACCTATATCAGCATCAACTGTTCAGAATGTTTCAAGTTTTTTGGTAGCATCCTGTAGCAGATTTATCAACAATAAGAAAATTATCTCATACATGATTCATAAATTTATTTTCTTGAGCTATCCACTGAAGTACCGTATTAAACATTTCAAATATTCAGTGAAAACTTAGTTCATACTATGCTTAAATGCAATTAGACTGTTATTTGTACATAATGGAGAGCAACTAAGTACTGCAAAGTAAAATTATCAATCATGAATATTGACATTTTGCTAAAATTTTTAAAAATCATCATAACTTTTCTTTATACTTTTGCCTAGTAGCAATATATTTATTTCTAAAATGTGAATTTAATTACTTTACAAAAGCATGTTAGGTTAAAAAATGTTTGAGTAGAACTGATTATGATAAAAGCGGTATTGCTCTTTTGCATGGCAAATAGATATAGTTTTTACGTATCAAATATGTGTTTAAAATACTCCTCTAAAGATATTTGTTAATGTTCTTATAATTCTCTGTTGTTAGGAATACAACTCCATAAAAGAAATTCACTCTGCTTTGAGTTTCAACAATAAATTGAGAGCATAACTCGGGGAGAGTCTCGATGATGGTCAGTGGAATTTTGAACTTCGTTCTATATCAAAAAGAGGTGCTGTAATAACTGAAATTACTTAAATATCTAAATGTTTTAGTAATTTTTCGAATAGGTGCTTTAAAAATACTGATTAAAGAGAAGTAATTCTCTATGACAGTCAGACTTTATTTGCAGAAATCCATATCTTTTATCCATTAAAAATTCATTAAAAAAAATTATATAACATATGGTGATGCCTGTAATGAAATAAATAAAATCAATATGAAAATAAAAAAAAATTCCATTAAATGTGTAAAAAAGGAAATGTTTTAATTTTTTTCATATTGCCAGATAATATATGACTAATGGAAAGTGCATTTTTTGTTTAAAAGAAAATAAAGATAAAAACTAAAAATAAATATTTAAGAAAGTGATGATTTACGTGAAGGAAACATGAAAGATAGAAATGAATATCATATTTTCTCAGAGATGAGAAATCTACAGTGAAGCATTTCTGTATATATGGTAAATAAGACTGACAAGTTTTCCAAATTTTATTTTCTTAAATGGCACAGACACATTGTTAGAAAAAAAAATATATTTAGGGAGTTAGAATAAAGGAAAGTGGATTTTTTAACAGAAAGAAAAAAATACAAATGCGGAAATAATATTAAATAGTTTTTTTTAACATATACACCTGAGCAGTTCAGCAAAACAGCTTAGCAAGGAGGCAAAAATGAGCTGAAAGTAAGTTGTTTTAAGTCAAAAGAATTTATAAACGTCGGAAAAAATTTGAATTGACCTCACTTTGAAGACTACAAAAGAGCGATTGAAAAGAGTCATTTTATCAAATGTAGAATCATAAACCGGACTATATTTTAAAAATTTAAAGAAGAAACATTTCTCATTTTCCTTAGATCTGTAATCACTTCTCATAATTAGTATAATATTTGACTGCATTCACAAAAAAAAAAAAAAAAAAAAAAAAAAGAAGAAGGAAAGAATGAATATGATTTCCTTTATCTACTACTAAGAGATGCTATTTTTAAATTGGGGAGCAGATATGTCTTATAAATTCGCATATAGAAAAACTCATATCCTTTATAAAATTAAACTTATTACTTTGTCCATTTAAATATTTAAATGTAGCAAGAGGAAAAAGTAATAAACACAAGATTAAGTCTAAAAGCTAACTTGTCGAACAAATATTTATCTCTTAAATCGAATATTAATCTCTGGTAGAATAATAAAACAACAATCTATATCATGTGCAAAAGCATATCACCGAGCAAAATTAACATTTTTGAAATAAATAACTTTTTAGTATATTATTCTAAATTTGGACATTTATCTGTTAAATTCTCTATCTATTATCATTATATGTCTATTATTTAGTTGATTGTGTCTCATTCTCTTTGAAGCAGGATTAAGACATTCCAATTGACTTTTAAGTGACTGTCAAAAGAATTGATACTCGTTAGGTGTAAATGCCTCAGGACCTGTTAATCTTATATCAATAACTTTGTTTATATAATTATTTAGCAATGTCTTTTATGTCCATTCTACCAAAGAGACACACCTGTCCATCAATTAAAATTAATTCAGCCAATGTTATAATGCAATTACTGTCTAATTTCAATCTTACAAAAAGCTATGTACATTGTACCTTCTTCAGTTTGGAGGCCCGATGCTCCACCGGCCATATCCAGAACGATCGGTTAAGACTTGTTAACTATTGTTGAAATTCATGTTCATTGTTATTTACCATCGTGTATAATAAATTCGGAAACCTGATTTTACCAGTTCTTGGACTTTATATTGGTAGACCATAAGGAATACGGCACCTTTCTCGTTTACGTTATATTACGGCCCCACAGCGCCGCTACTGTATTAACCACCAACATTCCTTCTTCCCTGTTTACGCAAAACAACGGATATAGTCCAGGAATTAGTTTCAATAAGTTATAACCAAACAAAATATACCTGGTTATAAATTCTTCGACATTCATTCGAGCTAAAACTTAAATCAAAATAAAGAAAGGGGCATTCCAGTCATGAATAATAATGTAATAATCTACATAGTTATTGTAAATAAAAACTGTATCTTCATAAATATCAAATGATTCATAATTATTAGAAAATTCAGTTTCTAGATTTCAATGTAAAAGTCATTCCATAAAAGATAGCTTTTTTTTCGTTATCGTCATATTTCATTGATATTTACTGGTTAGATAGGAGTAACTGATTTTTTAAAAACGAATCTTTAAGATAGTACAACCAAACATCGGAGCTACGACATATTTTGATATCCTACAAAATCTTAAAATCACTAAAATTTCAATCTCGTTTATAAAAAGATTTTTTTTTAATTTCAAATGTTTTACAGTACAAATCTACATGTGTATCATATATTTGAAAAAAATTCTGCTTCATGTTTGAAATGCTTGAAATTTATAATCATTACATATCAACAAAAAAGCCAATGGTTAAAGGGGGATAATATCAACTAAATGTTTATGTTTAAATTCAACCTAAAATCAGTATTTCAGAGAAATAAATGAGGCACTATTGTAAGAATTATTTTTAGACAGAAATTCATAGATTTTACCTATTCATGATCAAATCGTTTTGCGCATTTAAATTTCCATCATTTAAACATTTAACTGACAAGACAATTTTATTATAACTTGCCAACAAATAACTGCATGAAAATGTTGTCTTATCAAGGATGTTGTCTTATTCGATCAATTCTCTTAGAAGTAGTGGTGTGCTCATTAGAAGTTTTACTGCATATTATATGCATATTATAAAATTGTGTGTAATATGATTTTTTTGTTTCCTTCGGTGGACATAAATGACCCACGGCATGAAGAAAATTTATTATTCATAGTCATTTTTTTTAAATAAATGAGAAACAATTTGTTTGAATCATATTTATAATTAAGGAAAATCTTACTGCTGGCAATAGTACACAAATATAACAGACTGTTTTAAAAAACAGTTACAACGATGTTAAATAAAATGAAATAGGTTGATTAACTCTTCTTATATTTCTATGATGATGACTCTAAATACCTACAAAAAGATGAAATAATCTAAACTTATTAAACATATAGTATTGCTCTATAATAAAACAAATTTATATCGGTAAGCTTTCATCATAACGATGAACATACATGAGTCTCATTAAAAAAAACACCCAATAAATATACATATTTTCACATTTTTAACATATAAAACATATATACACAAATAATTTCAAAATGTATAATATCAAAGTTTCCAAATTCAAAGAACACATTAAAATTTTCAGGGACATGGAGCATAAAACATTAGAATCATTCAGTCAACAAAAACGACGATATTAACAATTCTAAATATAAATGTGGAATGATTGTCAGAAAATATAAAAAAAAATTGATCCATTAAGAGAATAAAAGAAGATATGTTTAATCATTTGCACCTTGTAGTAAAATCATGGTTTAAACAGTAAAACGTTTTGAATCTTTGGTTTAAAATAAGCATATCTTGGTTGAAATTCCACGTGATTGTCTTACAGGGTTAGTATAAGGCATATTACAATCACACATACTAATCCCAAACCCAAGAACAAACACATTTTTAGATTCCTATTTTTTCTTTGTAAGTCATTCAGATCAATATACACTGACAGAAGCTCCCTCTCCAACAAATTGTTCTGAGATCTCTGCCATTGTGTATTTCTTTTGGATTCTTCCAATTCAATGAGAAGTTGACCTGCAAAACAAAATTTAACTAACAAAATGTCAATACATTTGTTTTAAAATGTTCAGATAAAGTACCACGCCATTAAATTTTCCACTAAATTTAAAGATGATGTCAGAAATTTGAGCGAAGTGTTACGTAACGCTGTTTTTTAAAATTTATTTCAGGAATAATAAAAGTTGATCTATTCCGATCACCTTTGTTCATAAAATCTCTATTTAATGAAAAATCTTGAAGGAAGATTAAGCCATTTCTTTAGGATAAAATCAAAACAGTTTAAAGTACCTGGTGTTTTACGGGAGGAATCATTAACTTCATTACCTTCAAGAATGGGTAACAAGCGGCCAAACTCTCGGACTGTTGGACTACGCCCTGTAAAAAAAATTGAGAAAATAAATATAAAACGCAAAGAACAATCTAAAACTGATAGACAATAACTTTGTGGACAACATTGCATTGTTTGGTTGTAATTTTACGTATTTATTTCAAAAAAGTTTGAATTTTTAATGTTAAACAATTAAGCATATATTATATTATATTATATCATATTATATTATATTATATTATATTATATTATATTATATTATATTATATTATATTATATTATTATATATATAAAAACCTAAATCCTTCTTTCATTCTATTTTTCTTTTCTTTTTTGAGAACATACATATAATATAAACATTTAAAACTCTTTTTATTAACATTGAAGATACCTACCTAGTTCCCGCATGATGTGTTTGTACATATTTCGTACATCACTCTGTGGGTAATGCTTGAAGATATTCATGTAACGTGGCACATCTTGTTCATGAATATCATTCCATCCTTTAAAAGATGTTTTAAAAAAAAGTAAAACATACAGGTAGTTGTTGCAAAAACGTTATTGATATAATGCCGCTGCTACATTCAAGTTTACCACAAACCTTCAGTTACACCCTGTATCTCAATTAATTAACGATTTCTGACCTGGAAGACCATTTATGAAAGCGGAGAATGCTGTCCCTGTCCACAAGAGTGTTCCACTGCAGTCATGACCTATTCCCCGAGGTGGTGGATGAGGGAATTCATTGATGTATCTATCAAACTCGTATATATGGTCTGCATTTACTGGTCTGTATCCTTATATAATTCAAGTAAAATATGTTATTCTACGTGGTAAATCTTATAGAACTGACAAATCTTGGCACAAGTTTATTTATCATTTATATATATTTATTTGATTTATATATTAAACTGATGGTGATCATTATTGACATACTAGTACCTGATTTATGAATGATGACTTCGTTAAGAATTTGAAAAAATGCTGCAAAACCCTCTCCATCGTCAGTAGGGTGTTGGAGAATTTGATCTATTAAAAGAAAAGATTTATTTTAAACTAGATAGGTTTAAAAAAAAAGAAGAAACTTTGGATGTTTGTCTCTACCCCTTTCTCTATACATGCCGCGAAACCTGGTGTGGGATTTTAACAAACGTGAAGAAAATATATTTATTATTTATTAATGCACACTTTCATGAATGAGATTGACAATTACAATCAATATGATAAGATTCTTTAAAAAACTCAAAGAAAGCATTAACGATTATAATTTTCAACAAAGCTACTGCGCAACAATCCAAGCACTTGATCAGTCATCAATTTTTTAGTAAACAATACCTGTTATAGGAATACATGCGTTCTAAAGAACAAGCTAATTTTGACATTATCTTACCTGTCCGTCCGTCAGTTATGATTGGTGGTTTCCATTTTTTATACACTACTCCCATTATACCACTGAATAAGATTTAATGAGACGTTCCCAGAAGCCTTATTACATAGTTCTATTGTGCACCTTTTATTTAATGTTTTGATCAGACAGATATTTGGGCTTTCCCATGGCAAAAAATATGGACTTTGCCATTATTCTCATATGGGAGTTGGGGTATCATTTTGTGAGCTCAGTGCTCACAGTATCACTCTATTTTACACTGAAATAATATGATTAATTTTCTTCACCATTCTTGATTATCTCTCTTATAAAATGTCATACTCTGGTTTTGCAATTCAAATTGGGCATGGAATTATAAAACTAAACGTTTTCAATAACGCAACATTGAATTGAATGTTTAAAGAAAGAAATAAATACATTCTTAAAATGAAAGAAAAAGTGAGCAATCTCATATACCCCACGCTTCCCCAAAACTCGACAATGCAACACGTAATGAATGGCACAGCGCATTTTAAATACACAGGATAATTCAAAAAGGGGCATTACTTGGAAAAAATCATCCCATTTAAACTTCTTACATATAAGGACATCCAAATCTTTGTATGTTATAAATTTAATTGGGCTGAAGTTTCTAGATAGATAATGGAATCAAATTTTTTTGGTAATATTCAAATCTATACATTATGTCTGAAATGTCTACAAAGTTTCAGGAAATTCAGTGCAGGAGTTATGCTGACAAACTGTTGTTTAAATTCCTCAGTGATTTCTATTTGTTAATGAGTGTAAGTCCAACACATGACAATTTACACATTTAAATAATTGATGGAAACAAAATTATGATGTAGTCATATGAATTTGTTTATATACAGTACTTATGAAATTATTTAAGGCAAAGCACCAATTTGAGGTGGGGGTGGGTGGGTTGAGAACTATCCAAGATTTTGTGTGTGTGTGTGTGAGAGAGAGAGAGGGTGTGTGTGTGTGAGGGTGTGTGTGTGTGTGTTAAATAATTAATATTTTGATCTGAAAATCAATAGGGGTCTTTTAAGGTCTTAAAATATTTCACATAAAATTTGATTTCAAAAGCTGATTCCATTGGATTTCCTTATTACCTAGCTGGAAAATTTCTTTAATAATAGGCAAAACTCTTAGGGCAAAAATAATGGAATCGGAATTTCCTGGTAATATGCATATCTACACATTGTGTCCTAAAAACATGTATCTGCAAAGTTTGACCAAATTCTGTGTAGCGGTTTAAGAGGAGTTGCGCTGACAAACTGTTCATCTCTATATTCAAGATATGGCCAAAAATCTAAGTTGAAAAGTGCCGAAAGTCCCAGAAAAAATAAAGGAATAAGAATTTCCTGGTAATATGCACATCTACACACTGTATCCTAAATATTTGCAAAGTTTGACCAAATTCTGTGTAGCGGTTTAAGAGGAGTTGCGCTGACAAACTGTTCATCTCTATATTCAAGATATGGCCAAAAATCTAAGTTGAAAAGTGCCGAAATTCCCAGAAAAAATAAAGAAATCGAAATTTCCTGGTAATATGCATATCTACACATTGTGTCCTAAATATCTGCAAAGTTTGACCAAATTCTGTGTAGCGGTTTAAGAGGAGTTGTGCTGACAAACTGTTCATCTCTATATTCAAGATATGGCCAAAAATCTAAGTTGAAAAGTGCCGAAATTCCCAGAAAAATAAAGGAATCGGAATTTCCTGGTAATATGCACATCTACACATTGTGTCCTAAATATCTGCAAAGTTTGACGAAATTCTGTGTAGCGGTTTATGAGGAGTTGCGCTGACAAAAACAAGACTGACGGACGGACGGGTCAAAAAAACATTATACCCCCCCCCCCCGCAACTTGTTGCGTGGGGTATAATAAAAATGCGTACTGTAAAAGGATACCGTAACAAAAAATACTCTCGTAATAAAATACATTCGTTGTTTTCTAAAAACTTCAACATGCCCTAATCTCAGCAATCTCAAAGCTATTAATCAGATGTGTTTGGTCGTAGAAAATAATTATTTTTACTTCTTGGAAAAAAGGCTTTTCAATTTGTGAATAATACTTAAAAGCGATTTATTTTAAAATTGAAATAATGAACCATTTTGCTTTTATAGACAACCAATATATAATTTTGTTATTTTCGAAAGACACAGTCCTGCATCAATGCCAGCGCAGAACAACATGCCAAAATATTGCTGGCATTGTGAAATTTTTATCTCATTTTGAAGGTCGGCGATTTATCAATTCAATTAATAAAATACCAGTAATCATATAAACTGTTTCCTCAACAAAACAAGTCAAATACTTCGGTTGAGCAGTCACATAAAACTGGGCCAAAGTAGGAAACTTTTATGTCCGCAAGTTAGCTTTGTTATCTATACAAAATTTGATATGTAAGAGACGCTGATTGGCCAATTCAGAACAATTTCATTGGACAACCTGATTTTGCAGATTAAAGTTCATTCTGAAGTTCTCATGAATGGGATCTTTTGGAGTGGATCAAAGGCCTGTTGTTATTCAGAATGAAAAGCCTTCATTTTCTCACAATAAGATTTATTTATTTTAAATGAGGGTTTTCATATTTTTTCTACATATTTTTGCTTATAACTGAGTTTTCTAATTACAATCCTACAGAAAACCTTAAAAACCTGTGAACTAAAGTTGATGCACAAAATGCAGTTATTTCCACAGTGGAGAAATGGATTTTCCCATGAACAATGACAAAAGGCATGCCCACTGCAGATGAATGTGTGTGTGTTGAAATCATATGATCACACACTAGGGAATCAACGTCTTTGGTAGGGTTTGGTATCACATAAAAAAGTTTTCTTGCACTAGCTTTGCTTATTGTGGTACCGCTTATTTGTGAAATTAAAGACTGTACTAGTTGACACATTTAGAAATACTCGTACTTTATATCTTAACTACACACGTTCAAAACATTAAAGTTACTGATTTTTGAAACAAGTCTGCTGACGTACATTGTAGCGGACCATTTGGAATTGATCGGGATGCATAAATAAATCCCGATGATAAATTACAATATATATAACATCAAACATTGTGACATGATCCAAACATTTTAAAAATGAGGGAGTGGGGGCAACTCACGAATGGTTTTCTTTGACGAAAAAAAGAAAAGAAATTTGTCCAAATTCGAAAATCGTATTTCGTGGGGAGTAGGTTCATAATCAGTTCTGACGCTATGTGCGTGATCTCTACATGTGGATAAATTAAAAGTGTATACAAGATAAGCAAACATTCTTTACGGAAGCCAAAAAGAAAAAAAAACTGAGAGCGGGGAGGGCATGCCGACCCGCCCCAGAGAGTGCTGGATTCTCCTTTGGTTACTCTATATTTTGTTTCAAACATGAAGGTAATATGCCCCCATTCTCTCATCTGTTTTTTTTTTAATTTGGAGCCTGAAATACTGTATATGAGGACTGGTGGATGACATTGTCGGACATTTCTCTTAGAATACAATTTCCCCGATACTTTCTTGCTTCAAATACATTCACACATAACTCTCATGTATCAAAATGTTTTGCACTAAATTTGTAGCGCGGATCGAGCTATCAGTCTCGCCTTAAGCCCCACCCTTATCTCCGATACAGTAGGAAACTCGTACTCTAAATAAAACGTGAAGAACATCAACTGGCACGTAGTAGCAGGAGGCCGGGGCAGTTTTTTTTTCTAGATATAACCTATTGAAAAAGTTGTTTGAAAGGCCAATAACCCCACCCCCACCACCATCACCACCAATTTTGTTTGCAATATAGTCTAATCATCCCTTCGTAGTATATCAATAAAATTTGTTTGTGAAAAAAAGAAAGAAAATTGGTACCTACCCCTCCCCCCCCCCCCCATTAGCAACGAAGTTTGATTTTCGACTTTGGTTGATTTTCTTATTTTCAGATAAGTTGTCTCAAATATTTCATTCTGGCTCCCCCTTCCAAAACAATACTACGTGCGTATATTGACGGAACCCTACAGGAATTTGTGAGACTCTGACTATTAATGAGTGATCATTGCTGTATTCTGTTTATGGAAATTTGAATGATTAATATAATTTCTATTGTAGACAATTTTCGTTTCAATTCATTTTTTCGATGTGCTTGACCTTTCCAGAAAGGTATTTTCAACCCAAAGATGGAGACACATATGGTATCCATGGATAACACATGTAGTGCATCCTCCGGATCACTGATCACTATTCGTTATTTCCACCTTTAACATTCTACATCTGCCCTCCACTTTATGCTTGAATGGCTTTTCTTAGAGTCAACATTAAGGTTTGTTATCACCCTATATGTATCACTGGTATTCAAACCATTTTTTAAAATATAATGTGTGCTATGGATACTTTGTCTGAATAAGAAAGGTGTTGAAGAGTGATCAATTTCCAAAAATCTGCAAAGTACAAATCTGTGAACAGGGCATAAATCACGGACCCCCGGAAATTCCAGAGGTGGGATCAGGTGCCTAGGAGGAGTAAGAATAAAAGTTGCACTTAACCTACTTTTTATGCATTAAAGACTTTGGTTTTGTACAGCATTTATACCTGTTTTAGCTTACCATAGGAGATGTGTTAAATGTACCAATCAAATAGACACACATGGTATAATGTGTAAATACTTCGTTGCATGCAAGATTTCATCAGCATTTCACATACATTTTACACATGAGTACTAGTAAGTTAAGGACACATGCTACAAACATATTTTTTCAAAATCATAAAAATAACCAGAGCAAAGCTCGTTGCAAAGCAACGAGTAGGTCTTCCGACGGACGACGGACGTCGAAAGTAATATATTAAGAGTTTTTATCCAAATAATGATAAAATTTAGGCAAATTTCTCTAAAATGGACCAAAAAATCATATTTTTTAAAAAAAAAACTTCGGCTTCAATTTGGACTTTTCTGGTCGTTAGGGCGTCACTTCCGGTTGACGTCGAAAGTCTCCAAGCCATATAAAAAAACCTTTAAACACAATTACAAACCCGTTTAAACCGGAAGTACTTTCAAAAGATGGTTTTTTTCTTTCGATTATACATTTGAACTTAACTTCTACATGGCTTTATTAAAAAATTTTCAATTTTTAAAAAAATCCATTATTGCATAATGTAATTGTAAAGGGGTATATCACTTCGTGCGTTGGGCCCCTGTGGTTCCCGCATACTGTAAATAACTTTTTATTAGCGAGAACTTTATTTCGCGCAATTACGCGAGGCTCTCGAAAATTTCACTCTCGCGTTTATTAGTGTTATTAAAGATTATATAGAGCAAGAACCAAAATTCGTGTAAATTTTGTCTCGATCCTTAATAAATACCAAATAGCAATCTCGCAGAAATAAGATTCGAAAAAAAATAAAGTTATCTACAGTATTACAAATGACCTACGATGAATTCATGGATGCGTTTGTCAGTAGGATATTTGAAATTTATCATGTTTTTCTAGACCGTCACGGTAGCTCAGTCAGTAGAGCGCTCGCTCCGGAAGGTCGTGTGTTCGTATCACGGCAGCGACTGACCTAAGTCGATAAAAAATAGGAGGCAACTGTTCCTTCGCCAAGTGCTCGGAACTTTTTAGTGAAAGTTGTGGGTCCTTCAGATGAAACCTTGAAAACCGAGGCCCCGTGTCATGGTTTGCGTTCGCACGATAAAGATCCCTCACTGCTTAATGGCCCTGAGTGCCGAGTAAAAGTCTAAATTTGAAGCCCTTCACCCATATATGGTGACATCTCAATAAGAGTGAACAATTCTCGAACGAGACGTAAAACAACATAAAATCAATCAATCAATAAATCAATCATGTTTTTCTAACATGGAGTGAATTCTATAAGGACAATTAAATCTAAGTGTATCTGATTTCCAATCCTTGTCGCTGTTAAAGAGTTAATCAAATTTCCTTCCACGATACATTAAGAACTTTTTTTATATAAGAGATTTTTAACTTCCTGTCTGGTGGTTATAGAATTAAATTTACTTGAACACTTTTTGATGAATATTCAGAAATGAAAAAGGAAAGTTGTTTTTCGTTCATTTATGCGCCTTACACATTTTTAAATATATTTGTATATTACCTGCTGTCTTAGAAATTTTGTCCATGACAGGGAAAACTAAATAAATCCAACCCAAAATTCATTAGACATTATCTAAAATCTATGAACAAAATAACAAAATAACTTTGCAGGCGCGCCGGCAACACTCTGATTTACTTGTACGTATACGTAGGACTTTCAGAGCCACGGGTTATCCATGATAAAAAAAAGTAGTGCATTCACAAATCATGAATAAAAAAATAAAGCTAAGTTTTCATTTTAAAAGAAATGTTCGGAAAAATAAGTTTTATCTATCAAAAAACAATTCTTCATTCAAAAAAACAAATTGTAATAATAATTCTTTTAAATACACTGAATTGTGCGTAGCATATCCCTCCGCGTAACTGGCTATATGCCAAAAGTATGATTCAAACAAATGGCATAAAATCTTCTGCTCACTGATTGGTTGGAGTCAGTATCATGACCTCCTTTTTTGTTTTAAATAAATGCATTCAACAGAAAGGTTTTCTGGAGAGGTTTTTCTGGTGAAAAAAAATTGTGCAAATGTGATTATACCAAATTCAGTAGGAAAACTAATTTTACTTCTCTTCAAATGAATTACATTCTCACCTCCAGAAAGTGTATTTCCTTATGCATACAACTTGTTTCGAGCATGTTAAATCCCACGATCGACTGTTTGACGTTTAGATTTTTTTTCAATATCAAAATATGTTTTTATCCATTTCTAGGATTAGCATACCATTTGGTTGGTAACTTTATCTGATATGGTATGGCAGCCATGTTTCGACAAATTGAACCTTAACATTACTTTCGTTTCTAACATAGGGCATAATGTATCTTATGAACTGGGACATAAAGTATGTTTTTAAAATGATCAATAGTGCTTGGATGAGTTTATTTAATTATATTTTAATTGTAGCCAGGTATTGCATAATTTTAAAGTCTGATTTCTTTCTAGTATTAAGTGAGGAAGTCTGTATGAGAATACCATAAACAACAACTAAATTTAGGGAAATTGAACATTATAGTCTTAGTATTTATATTTCTGACAAAAACAAGACTAATGGTACGTTCAAATTTGAGTGTTTCTAAGGAAATCACAAAGGCGAGATTGTGAGCGCGTGCCCCTGAACTTATTGACTTTTTGTGCTTGATAACATATATATATATATATATATATATATATATATATATATATATATATATATATATATATATATATATATATATATATATATATATTAGAAGTTTATTTTTTGAATTTATGTTTGTGTTATTTTTAAAAGTTCCTTGCTGCAAGGGGTATTGTTATTTATCTTCAAAGAAATAATTTTGCAGACAGCACTAAATATTTTCAAAACAAATTTTCGACCTCAAATCAAAATCCATTTTTGATTTTCTTTCCCTCAATAAATCGGTCACTCAAACAATCAGAGGGCCAGTTTACCTTAAACAGAATTTATCTACATTAAATTTCTTTTCAGACTGGTAATGAATTTATTACATGTACATGAAATACAAACATAAGAGGCAAATTGGTTACATCCTCCTGAGCATTTATTCTCAGTTTGATACGTTATATGTTTGTGAAATTACAGAATAACTATTGTGGTTTCTACGCATGTTACTCAGGTACGATTGAGCGTACATTTGGAGATGAATACGATGTGCGAATATTATTGTCTGATGACAGCATGTAGATTTTATGTTTGTTGAGTGTTATTTTTTTTCTAACTTTGTTGTCTTCTACTGTTGCACTAAGTTATAAATTACTGCATGAAACATAGCTGATTTGAATTCATTTTGAAATTCAATAAAAAGGCCTTCAAGGTCATACATCAGATTAAGTGGCTCACTGTCAAAATGTCTTTGATCACTACTCACAAATTGATCGAATGTTTTCCTATATTTGTAGGAGACTGAGTAAGTTTGAATGCTAAATTTTGCAAGAAGTCTAGCTTTCCATCAATTCAAACCAGTATAGTATTTGATGCAATCCAAAGATTCTTTAGATATAGATATAGATATAGATATATATATATATATATATATATATTGCAATAAATTTAAATTGTGAGATATTTTATAGTTTAGCTTCAGATATAATTATTGACATCAATGCGTAAGATATCGTATGGATGCACGTTTCTGAAATCAAAAACACTGCTTGTTCAAACTATATTTATTATAATATAAATCATGAAATGTCAGAAAATCATCTTTCAAAGCCAAGTGGCTATTAAAGTGTCCCCAAAATAACAAAAATATTTTACAGACACTGCTTTAGTTACAAAGTCAATCTGAATATCACTGTTGCTTCAGTTGGTTATGAAGTAGATCACGTTAATAATAAGAAAATCCCACTGTAAATCATTACAGTATTGGTCTGTACAGTTAGTTAAGCTTATATCTAATTTCTTCTTGAATTAGACTTAAGCCTCCAAATAACTATTATAAAAGTATGCCATTAATGTCCATAGAGGATGAGACTTATTTTCCTTCAAAACGCATCCCTTCTATCAAAAGCATTAACGACAATACCTCCTGTAGTATTGTCAAGCACAATTGTAATTGTTTTAAATGGCACTATATCAGTTAAAGAATCTACCTGATTTATACATTTCGATTTCCTGTGCGGAGACACATGAGATTATTTTCATTTTAGTGCACTTTGTACATAAAAATACTGGACATTTCTTCAACATATCACAAGTATAATTGTACCTTTTGAACGCCATTGAAATGTACGTTTTAAACGCCAGTTTGAACAGTCATTTTGTTTTATGAGAATTCTCTCCAATAGAAATATTAACATAGAATTTAAGAAAATATGAACTGTTACTTTTTTGGCTAAGATGATTCGATGATATATTGTATGTTATACAGTCAGGAAGTACGAAGTCGAATAAAATCGTGTTCATTTCCTCTAGTACATACTGGACAATTTCCTTTTCTCTGAAAACACGTGTCACAAACAGACAGTGATCAAGCAGTTAATCATATTAATAATGCAACATTTGCACATCATTTTTCTTCTTAATTCTTCATTTTTCTCTTTAACTTGTGTTGTATCTATGTATGAAATGACAAAAGTAGATTTTTTTATTCTGTTTAGCTTAAGTCTCAGAATCATACACTTAGATTTAAATAAACATGCTCTATTATACACATCGATTTCAACAATTACAGGAGATAGAGTGATTTGAATGCCAAAAACACGATCAATATACGTAAGTAAGAAACGACAATAACAATCATTTTAATCTACAACAAGAGTTCTTGGAAATTGGTTCTGAAAATCATTCTTTTTTAAAATGGATAAATTAACCATATATATGTATTGATATAAATAAATGTACAAACAAATATACCTTTTTGCAATAACGCAAGAAGAGCACATATTCTGTTTGGTTGATACAATTTTGATGTACTTATTAACCCCTCCTTTACACAACTCCAAATCTCTGTTTTTATATCAAACGCCTTTAGCCCAACAAATCCTTAATTAGAATAAAATATAATTGCATGAGTTAATTGAATTAAAGTATTAATATTAAAAACGTTTTTTGTGTCAAAATTATATTTTGAAATAAGGAAAAATTATTTCTTCACCTGGTTTGTCAGTAATTCTGTCAATGGCTTGTTTAGTGACTATAGGCAAAAACCCATCTTTTAGAACTTCCTGAGCTGCGTCGGTCATTAACAGATTTTCTTCGGGATTATCTGTCACAATAAATTTGAAGAATACATAACATTACAATCCATTATGATTATCAAATATTTTGAACATATCATATTCTATTAGTGAAATTGTTTACAAAAATAAATAAATAAATAAAATCCTAATTTTATACTTTAAAAAGCATACAAGAAGACGATCTTTTATGAACAGAAATGTCAAATGTGGCGTGAGTAATTGAAACATAACTTTTTAAATAAAAATATCGTATAATAAAATATTTTCATCATAGTAACACTTTTAGATTATACCTGTACTAAATAGAATGATGCCATTAAGTTCGGGCAATTCTTTTGAATCTTCTTCAACCCTTTCTCCCATTTTGACGCAGCTGTAATCCAAGCCATGAATGAAAAAAAGCATGCTTATAAATATATATATATATATATATATATATATATATATATATATATATATATATATATATATATATATATATATATATATATATATATATATAAAATATATTTAAAAACTTACTGTTAATTTGTATGGTCATTTCCATTCTTATGTCGATACGATATATCCTTGTGAACTTGAGATAAAAGATACCACAGAGTCTGACACATCTGTTTCATATTTGGATATTTTACTTGAAAAAGACGTTAATGGTAATCTAACAACCAAGCTTTATGATAAACGTGATGACTTTAACTTTTCAATCGTCAACTTCCCTTACTTATGCAGCAATATACCTTTATCACCTGCATACGGGGTATATATCTCTCAGTTGATTCGATACGCAAGAGCATGCTCTACGTATGTACAATTTCTAAAACGAGGTAAATTATTGACAAATAAGTTGATGAAACAAGAATATCAGCTGTCTCGTTTGAAGTCATCATTTCGTAAGTTCTATGGTCGATACAATGACCTTGTCAGCAAATACAATTTCTCATTGAGTCAAATGCTGACTGACGTTTTTCATGCTAATTGTTAGGCCATTATTTACACACTGAATTGTCGACGGATTTTTCCGTTATTTCCCGATCATGACAAGGAGCACACGGCGGGTGTGACCGGTCGGCAGGGGATGCTCATTCCTCCATGGCACCTGATCCCACCTCTGATGTTTGGAGGTCCGTGTTTGCTCTGCTCCTATTTTGTATTGATTAATGGACTTTTGAGCTTGAATACTGTTCGTTATCTCCATATATTTCATGGAAAGCAAATCGAAGTATCAACTCGTGTTTGAAAAGGAGTCATTTCCTTTATTCAGAAGTCGATGTTACCAAAATGAAATAAAATAAAATGGGCCACAGCGCTCCCCTGAGTCACTAATAACCCTGCTGAACATTTCTTCCATACATTTTAATATAAAACTTTGATTACATATTATGGCCCCTTCCTACCGTGGAAGCGGGGCATGATTTGAATAAACTTGAATCTACACAATCTGAAGATGCTTCAATATGAATATAACTAACCACGGCTTGCTGCTCGTAAGAAAAGAGTTTTAAAGATTTATCCTAAACTTATGGGAAAATATTATTGCCCTTTGTGCCCCCCCCCCCCCCCCACCGAATAAGATGCTTCCATCTAAATATGACTATCCATGGCTTTGCTGTTCTTGAGAAGAATTTGGAAGATTTTTCCAATATCTTCCATTGTAAAATATTGAAATGTAAATTGTGGCCCCACCCTACCCTCGGGATCATGATCTGAACAAACTTGCATCTATACTATCTGAGGATGCTTTCGTATGAATATGAGTAACCATGGCTTTTCTGTTCGTAAGAAGAAGATTTTATAAGATTTTCCAACATATTCCTATGTAAAACATTGAATCATTGTGGTCCCACCCTACCCTGGGGTCATGATTTCCACATTTCCAAAGGATGCTTCCACATAAAAAAGACAAATTAAAGCTTTGCTTTTCGTAAGAAAATTTTTGAAGATTTTGCTTACATATTCCTATGACAAAAAAAATTGATCACCCATTGTGGCCCCACCCTACTCCGGAAATGGGGGGGGGGGAGTCAAGATTTGATAAAATTTGAATCTACACGATGAAATGAAGCTTGCGCTTAAAGTTATATCTTTTCTGGTCCAGTGGTTCTTTTATATGAATATTTTTGAATGCAATTAAATTTTACTAATTCTTAATTATCTACCCCTTGAAAGAGGATGCTCCCTTCATTTGAACAAACTTGAATTCCCTTCACTTAAGGATGATTTATGACAATTTGGTTAAAATTTGCCCAGTAGTTCCAGAGAAGAAAAGGAAAATGTGAAAAGTTTACGACAACAATAAGAACGACGACGACGACAACAACGACAGACAACGGGTACTTTCGATCAGAAAAGCCCACTTGAGTCTTGGCTCAATATAAATAGATTTTATTGTCTGTTTGTATCTGATTAAACATTTATTTAAAGCGTTTTTAACTGCCTGTCTATCTTCCAGCTGTCTAGATACTAAATCAGATTTCACAATTATTATATTTGGCATTTCGTCTTTAGAACTTTTATTTATGCATACATAAAATGCAGACGTACTAACCGTCTCCATAGACAGGTTAGTGAGTGAGGTGACTAACCATTAGTAGTCGACCCAGCGTTTTTAAAGTAGTTATTAGATTATTAAAGATAATTTACGCAAGAAGTGTTCTTTAATCGAAACTATTTTTAGCGGATTGAAAACAACGTCATGTTTAAAAACACCAGGAAGTTATAGATGGGTTACTCACTGATTTGGATTAAAAACAACAGTTTTGTAGGATTCTTTAGTGTGAAATGTAAGTAAAACATGCTTCATTCTACAAGTTCATAAATTCTGAAGTTTTTTGATGTGTTGAATGAGAAGTTAAATTCTGTATATGTATATACCAGGGTTTTCTTGTTTATGACACACATTTAAGAACCAAGCACCGTATTCTAATTTTGTTTAGCTTTGTGCATATATTTGCTCAAAATGATATAGATCCTATGCAATTTGTACATTATGATCTACAGGCATTGAAAGAGGCTACCAAGGAAAAATACACATTCAGCAATTTCTCAGAATGAGGTGAACAGGGATAACTTGGATTAAAACTTTTTTATGTCATACCCCCTCCTTTCCACCTCAAAAAGGTATGAAATGTGTAGAATTTCTGAGACACAAATCCCTATGAAGAGAGAAATCCACGAACTTGGAACCAGTGTACTTTGTAAATACACAAAGAAAAAATTAATAAAATTATATTCATTATAAGATATTTTGGTAATTGATTTTGTGATAAACAATCATGGAAATTTTTGTTTTTGATTTAAAACAGAGGTTCAGCAAAGATACAGATTAAGAGTCTTTTATCTGAAAATATTAACTGTTCTAAAGACGTTTATTTTTGAGTAAATGATTTTTTTAAAATTTAGATTTAACTTGTGTTTTCTTCATTGTAGAGACAATGAATAGTAAATAGAATTCAAGAAATGAAAATTTTTTTTTTATTGCGATAGGTAAAAAAATGCATCCCCTTATATACTAAATTGAATCCGTGTAAATATAGGCCACTCTATGTGCACTGCATTTCTTGAAACATTCTGATTTTAATTCTAGACTTGACTGAACTGAAATAAAATTAACAGGTCATTGAAACGAATAAGTTGTTTTTATACAAACACTGATTCATTCAGTCATTTAGATATCAAAAAAGTAGTGGACTGGTTATTTTAGTATATAATCTGCATTTTACACCTTATGTAACACTATCCTACACAAAACTCTACATTAGACTATCCATACAAATAAAAGTAACAATAAATTTATTTCCCTCATTGAATTCCCTCATTATTTGTTTCTGTCATTTTTTGACATATAGATAACACTATGGATTTTGTAAATGGGAAAAATTAAAAACCAATGCTTATATATATATATATATATATATATATATATATATATATATATATATATATATATATATATATATATATATATATATATATATTTAGAACTGTTAAAGATCCTGATAATTCATTAACTAATAAAATTAAGATAACGATAGTCCCTTTCAAATGCAAATTGTTACTTACAATATTGTGATAGCTCCTCGATATTAAAATTTACGTCCTTTCTCTTGGAGTTTAGTAAACACAAATGACTGCAATACGTAGGGTTGCAGTATTTTCTAGGTACCTTTACTCGAGGCCGGCTTACCGTAGCCTGGTTTATTTACATCGACTCTATAAGTACAGTGTACATAGAGATGACTAATTTTACTTATAAAATGAATGATGCTAAATACAAGAGAAAGGATTCGACTCACAAGCTCTGATTGTAGGTTACGTAAAAAACGATTATAATTGAACAATAGGTACAGGAATAAAGTAAACACGTGAACGCATTGCTCACATTGTAGAACGTTGTAACTTTACACTTTTCAAATATAGATATCGTTGTCAATTGAATAAAGAGTACTCAGATAGCATTCTAATTGCTATAACTATTGCAAATAAAATATTTTCAAAGAATTAAGTTGACATTTAAAAAAAGAGGGTGACCTTTTACCCAATATGTACCACTTCCATCCGTGGAAGATTACCTTTAAATTCAGATTGTCTCTATTTATTTCATTTTTCTTAATATTCCAATCACTGATTCCACTTTCATGATTTTTTACAACCATTGTTAAAAATTACAATTTAAGTACCATAGTTGCCTGGGCATGGATATGGTTCTACCCTGACAAAATACAAAAGTAACTTCATTTTATTAGTAACACGGTTTTCAATATTTGAAATTTTACTGTGGCGCAGACTTCACTTGAAGCACTAAATATTTTCGTGAACTAATTTGCAAGTAACTATTACAAACACACTCATATTCATGCCTCTTTTGAAACACTAATTTGATATAGAAAATGGGATGATTATACATAAGTAATGAATATTGAAGCAATTGCAGAATATATAAATTAGTCAAATACTTATCATGTCTCCATCTTTAAAATTTTTACTATCAATTTTAACAGGAATCTCCATGTATTAGAAAGCTCTTTCAAATTTTCTAAACGGAAGTAGAGTGCATTTCAGAATAAGTCTAGAATTTTTGTTATACTGAAGGAGAATAGAGAAAAATGAAGAGAAGATGAAATATATAAGCTCGCAATTTTTTGTTAAACTACTATGCTAAAACTATAAGTGCTGAATAGTTAATTGGAATATTTGTGCCAAGCATTTTAAAAATGACACAGAAAATACTTTTTCAAAGATAATGCTGTAAAATTACCCACAAAAATGTTACAATAAAAAAAATTTATATCGAGCCATTTGACATTTTTAACAATTTTAAACAAGGAAAGTAATATTTTAATGAGGAATCACTGTCTAGTTAGTAGAGTATGC